AGAAAAGAAAATATTTTTTTCCGTCGCCCTCTTATGAAATTGTTAATTAAAAGAATCAACGAAAATTAGAGAGAGAGAGAGAGAAAAAAAGAGGGATATATTCGAGGGGAAAAAAAGAAAATATTTTTCTCCGCCGCCCTCTTACGAAATTATTAATTAAAAGAATCAGCGAAAATTAGAGAGAGAGAGAAAGAGGGATATATTCGAGGGGAAAAAGAAGAAAATATTTTTCTCCGTCGCCCTCTTACGAAGTTGTTAATTTTAAACAACTTTTTTCAACAAAGAGAGAATCTTGTATATAATAATATGTCGTCGCTCGGCCAATTCTGCTCTGTGTATACCTCTACCCTCGAGAACAAAAAGTTGTGTGTCCCGTTTCGGTGGGGAGGGGAGGAAAGAATGGAAAGTGTATCGCTTACAATGAAAAATCTGAGCACGGAATCAAATGGAATGGATTAGTTCCGCGGATAGAGGAGCGTAAGCCGGGGGACAAGGGGTGATCGTATAATTTTGCACAATGTGAAAAGGTATTCAGGTATTGGCGGGGGAGCGAGGAAGGGGGGAATGGGATTACATTTTTCCAGTTGAATGGGATACCCACCTACGTACGGTATAACGGCGCAAACAGGACGAATTGCGCTCAATTGTGCGCAGGCAATCAGGGGCGGATCAAGAGAGTCGAAAGTTTAAAAAAAGAAATCAGAGGGGGAGAAAAATGTGTGTGTATATATGATAAGATTTTTTAAACGCGGGACACTTTATTCCGGCGAAAATAATTGGCTCGAACAACTCGAGCATGAAGAGGATAAAAATCCGAGGCGTTCTTCCACCCCCTCCTTCTCCCCCTCTCCTTCTCTCTCAGAATTTGTCGGACCGCAAAAGGAGCAGATGAAATTTCCGTTTTTGCTCGGTGCAGTCGGAGCTGTACGGTTTAATCCGCGCCAACGGATCTAACGCGAGTTTTTTTTACACCTCCAGCGAAAATACCACCACGAAGGAGAAGCTCGGGCTTCCACGAACAACCATGACGCATGTGCGACAAAATTCTGCAAGGGTACGTGACTAATGATAATAATCAAGAGAGCCCGGTACGAGGCGAACCGTCGGCCGCCGCAAATCATTCGTCCCACTTTTAATGCGGATCCGTGGAAACGCGGGACGATTTTACAAAATCCGAAAAGTTAAACCTTGAACGCGAATAAAAAAAAGCCGATCCATCGAATGTTATTCGCGTCTTTCGATCGAACGGGTAAAAATCTTTCGTTTACCTCGTTTCGTTTCCTCCTCGCGAGAGGAACGATATTTCAAAATTTAACAATTGAAGTTAAGAATAAAGATAATTTATTGTTCGAGTAATCGTAAATAATCGTAGTAGATAAAATAAATTTCTTAATAATAATAATAATATTAATAACATTAATAGAAATTAATCAATTTCCATCAATCCACCAATTAAAAATAGTATACTATATATATATATATATATATATATATATATATAAAGGAAAAATTAATTCATGATGATG